CTTGCCAGGGAAGCACTTATTCCACTGAGCCATCTCCCCGGCCCCTTGGAGACTTATTTTTTGAAAAGTTAGAATTAATTTCCTCTGTTATTTCCCTCTAAAGAAATTCAAATGAAGCGAAGTGTGATTGACTTTTCAGTGAAAGCTTTAGACATGAATATGTAAGCGCCTCCTCAGGTTTGGGGGCCCATTCACCAGCAGCTGCCTGTCAAACGCTGTGAAAGCCCGGACTCCAGAACAAGGGCTTAGGGCTCTGAGCACCCAACAGCGCCTGCTGCTCACAGAGCAGCGTTAAGGCTTTGTTCACAGGCGCGGGATCTACCATTTGACTCAATATTACAATATTTTCTATCAGGACTTTAATAAAAATCTTTTATACAGTGTTTTAAAAAATGAAGCATACTGCAATGAATCTGATCATTATATATGTACCTAAAATGTACCAATAAAATCTGACTGGAAACTGTGAAAAAAAGTGTACCATGAATTACAATTATGATTCTTTTTACTACAAAAAGTATGGTGATTTCTTATGATGAGACTTAATAATGGAGATGATATTTTTCAAAGATCTCAAATGGCCCCTATTTCAAGGACTATCTAACAATACCCACAGAAACTAGTATAACTGTGAACCTCAAGATGAAGAAGCCCAGAAAAGACGTTAGTTCAAAATAACCCAAGACCAGTCTCTAATGTCGCTGATGTGCATTTAAAAGAGAAAGTCACAGAAAGGTAGGTACTAATCATGTTCATCAAGTGACCCAAAATTAACATTTTTATGTAACAAAACCAAAAATTTAGTTTCCAGGTACTTGTTGAATATAGTACTGTACCTTCTACACTTAAAAAAGTATCATTTTACTTAAGAAAAATTGATTCTTTGTTGAAGTGTGCATTTTACTGACAGATTCTGGCCCTAGTATGAACTGCTGAATTATTATGGTGGTCATCTAATATGGCTGAGGCCCTTAAAACAACAGCTTACCTTCCCAGAGACCACCTCCCCCCTTCTTCTCCAACTCAGCCCAGGGTGCAACTTCTGGTCACCTTTCCCATCACCTCAGGGAAGGCCCCAATCAACCCCTCAGGTATATCTGAACATCCCCTCAAGCCCCACTCCTGGGAAAAGGCCATAAAAGCCTCAGCCTCCCTCTGTTCCAATCCAGAGAATTCCTTACTTTCCCAGATTCTCTCTGTGTCCTCCAAGATAATAAAGCCCCTCCCCTTTTCCCTTCTGCCTGTTTCTCTGCTGGAACACATCCGAAAACCTATCATTTACCAAGTATTTCCAGTCTCTCATCTTCTTTTCTAGATCTATTTCCTTTTTCTTATCTACCTAATCAAATTTTATTTATTTTCTACTGGTAATACTATACAAATTTAGTAATTGTTGTTATCCTATTTCTTTCTTTTTTTCCCCTGTATTTAGGACTGGGTCTACAGGGTCTCACTACACAGATTGAACCTGAAGCGATCTCCTGTTTTTAGCCTCGCAAGTGCTGGGATTACAGGTTCATATCACCACGCCCAGTCTCAGTCACTCCAGGGGCGGGGCCGGCTCAGCACTCTGGGTTTCTGCTGAGCTCTGCCTAAGCAGGCGCTGTAGTCTGCTGAGCTATCAGGCTGCCTCTGTTATCTTATTTCAACATTTAAGTAATTTAATTTGATTTGATTTATTCAATCATATATTAATCAACTCATGTATGATTCTGGTCAATGTAGTAGGTGAAAAATAACATCTCATTTTAAAAAAAATGTAGAATTCCCTGATTGCTAGTAAATTTGGGCCTTTATTCACATTTTAAAAAAATGCTTAACAAAACTGTATATATTTAGTATACAATGGGCTGTTTTGAAATATGTACTTAGTGCTAAATCAAGTTAATTAACATACATTCCCTCATACACTTTACTGTGTGCTGAGGTACTGCAAAGTATTTCTTGGCAATTTTTAAGTATATAGTACATTTTATGACTACTATAGTCATCACGCTGTAGAGAAATCCCTTCTGTTGATTTCTGAAATAGCAACTATTTCTTAGGATTCTTCCTTGGAAATTAGGAAAGGTAGGATGAGGCTGAAGGTGAAAACAGGTGAGCAACACCAGCTGGGTGGGGACTCTGCAGCTGCAGGAGAGGGGACGACAGAGACAGAGAATAAGAACTTCAGAGGACCGTGGAGGACCAACCACAGGTGCAGCCAGCATGAGCAGGCCCAACAGCAGGAGCATTTCTGGGCTCTGGAAGGGCCCAGGTACCGCTGTCTCCATTCAATTCAAAAAATCTAAAACATCACTAAAGTCATTGTTTTCTATTACTCAGAAGAGTTACAATAACTGTCCACTGGATTTTATGCATACTAATTAATGTACTACTTAGTACTTTTAGAAATTTAAATTTTACTTTTTAAAAAAATTTTTAAAAACAGGGTCTCACTGTATAGTCCAAGCTGGCCTTGAACTTGTGGAAAGCCTCGTGTTTCTGCCTCCCAGGTACTGTGATTACAGGCCTGCATCACCACACCTGGCAAGGCCCCTGTATTCCCTGTCTTTGTAGCCTGTGGCTTTGGTATCTATGTGGTTTCTCAGCAGAAATTCTCTTCTCTCTCATTCCTTAATGTTCTCTAAGGTGTTTTCTTGGAATCTTTCTTCTGCTCATCCCCTGTACTACATAGTTCTACGTGCCCATTTCATAACCAGCTTTACTTAGTTTGATAAACTGTACTCAAGTTCAGGTCCCTCCCTGGAGACAGATGCACCCGGCCACTCCTTTCCTTCTCTGTACCCAGGCCTTCTCCACATAGAGATGGCACCACACTCACTAACTGCCCGGGAGAGAGGGAGGGGCCGCTCTTGGTTTTTCCCAATCACCAAGTCCTTTGCAATCAAGGACACGGAAACAATCATGAGTCCTGTTAATCCAACGATCATATCCCCTTTGTCTCCAGACTCACTCACTCAAGGAACTTCTGAACCATCTCCCTAGACTATGGAGCTATGGTAGAGTTTACTTTCTGCAGTGCTGAGAGTGCACTGGGCCTTGGATATACTAGGCAAACGCTCCACAGGTGAGCTCCAGCCCTAGACAAGGTGGTCTTTCTAAAACAACAGCCTGAACTACCCTTCTGGCTTCCTAGACTCAATCCTAACCCACTATTGCAGAAGTTACAACCGAGCTCTTCTGATTCCTTCTCTGTTCTCCTATGAGCTCTGGAGCTTCCTATGTTTAAGCCAAGATACGTAAGTTGTTTCATCTCAGCTGGTATTTCACTTCCTCCAGGAAGATTTCTTAGAACTTTGAATCATAAAGATTGTGTGGTTGTTCCCAAAAAAGTGTTCTACAGAACGCTGTTTTTCTTTCTTTGTATGTGTCATGCTACATACTACCTAATTTAATTGTCCCCTCTCCTGGACAGTTATCTTTGTGACAACCTGGGATGTATCTTTTCATTATTTTACTGGGCCTATGACTAAGCATGCATTAGGGACTCAATAAGTGTCTGTGGCACAAGTATATTTGTGACAGAATTCTTAGATGAATGAATTTAATACCTAGTGAATTCTGATTTAATGAAAACCACAGGACAAGACTGAGATCGAGGGCAACAGGCTTTCACTGTCTCTATTCATGTCTCTGCAGTCCATTGCTGCGGTCATGCTGCAGGGGCTGCTAATGGAGGACGGGCAGAATAGGGTGCTAGAGAGGTCAGAGACAAATGGTCACCAGCCATCCATAGTTCAGAATTCTGGGCAAAGGAGACTGTGGTGGGGGACAATATGGGTGAGGTAAGATAGGATCACTTCATTGTCCTCCAAAAACCTAACCTCACGTTTAAGCCCTTCTGTGTTCTGTCAATACAATCTGATAACCATGAACAAAACATAATGACCTGAAAATTACAAAATAAACCAGTACTTTTAACTGGTAGCTCAAAAACCAGTCCCTACCAACAGCATGTCAAAGAAATTCTGGGTCCTTATACCGAGATACTCACCCTCTAGTTTCTTCTTCGCGACTTCTTCCCTTCTGTGTTTTAATCCACTGTTCCAACTGCTGCATGGAATTCGTTCTCTGGATGACTCGGTCGGCCTCCGGGTATAGGGGCGCTGTGTTGGGGTGATTTGCCCCTCTCAGATCTGCCAGGCTGACATTAACTGTCTTGTGCTCTGCACTGTTCACATTGACTGGCCGGTAGTGAGCAATCTGAGTTGGGCACACTGACCCACCATCATACTCTGACGGCAGAGAATTCAACTTTACACTATTAATTTTTGTTAAAGGTCTATCTTGACCATCTTTCTGAAATCCGTATTTTTCAGCTTCTAATGCCTTTTTTTCTTCAAGTTTGCTTATCTCCTTGTTTTTTTGGTTGTTTTGGGCCTCTGGTTTAATTAGCACTCTATGGTTGGGAATGTTATTTGTTTCTTTATTTGGTACATTTTCAGATGTAATCTTGTCCACTCTGAAAACAGAATAAAATCACAGTAAACCCAATGAACTAACACACATGTTGTATCTGAGACTCAATCATGAAAAGAAGCAACTATGAAAATAAGCCCACAAACAAATTCACACAGAGGACAAATCTGCCCCAAATCCTCAAAGCTATGGCTTTAACATTTAAATATAACACAGAATACATACACAGAAAGAGGAAGAAAACATGAGCAAAGACTACTAGAGGATAAAAAGTGACGTGTGCCCCTGCCATGAGATTATTTGGAAATAAACCAAATGACATTTTTCTTTAACAGTTAAACCACAAAGTCCATGCTTCAAGGACTATTAGTCACTCACTTGACATAAAAAACCCGGCTCCCAGCCATGGGGCTTAGCACATCCTGAGAAAAACATCAGGACATTGCCGCTGGATGTGTCCAGAGACTGGGAGCACATGATCAGCTCTCTGCTTGCACGCAGGAGGAGCTAAGCTTGGGCTCAGACTTCCGGAGCCAGGCTAGCATTTGCTGTGCAGCTCTCTCTTATTAGATGTGGTTTCGGGCAAGGCACAGAAGCTTAGGAGCACCTCCACTTCCTCTTTGGTGAAGGTAAAGCTAGGCGGGCTGCGGTGAGAACCAGATGGGTAGGCAGAGGCTGGCACTGCCCTCGCTAGCACTACTGTTCCAACTCAGCAAGCAGCTGTGGAGGACAATCTGGCATCCTGGGTCTTTGTCCACCCCAACAAAGTGTTAATCAGCAGTATGTGTGTGAGCCCTCGACAGTTCACGACTCACCACTGCACCTGCTGTACTATGGGCTTTTGATGAGACTCAGTTTTGAGCCTGACAAGATCAAGCTGAGTGTTTGAACCTGCACGAAGCTGCTAAGCTCATGTGACAAGGGCAGCCGCTGAAAAACTGGCTGGCTGTCCCATCTCAATGCCACTCGTAGCAGTTCCTAAGTTTGGGATGGCCACCAAGTTTTGTGATGTGAGGAAAATATAAGCATTTACATTTAACTCTAAGGGAAGAAACAGAGATGTCTATAGATAGCTTAGAATGTGGTCACTGAAGAACAATGAAAGGTGATTATTTTCCTTGGAGTAGAGTTCTACACTATCTATATATTTCAGTTAGATACAAACCCTAGTTTCTAGGTCACAACATTAGACACTGTACAAGTCGACAAAGACAGGCTATGGAGCATCTTCCCCTCAAAACATAAAATTCATACAAAAGGTACAATAAAAGCACATTCATCCTTGCTCAATTCTGGGAGTAGGGTAAAGGCTGTTTAACACTGAATATTAAATATCTTTTCCTCCCCTTTAGTTGGTGGTACTGGGGATTGAACAAAAGGAGTCCTGAAACAAAAGCTGAGCCCCTTCTATTTATGAATACGTTTTTACGAGACAAGAGTCTCCCTGAGTTGTTCAGACCTCTCTCACACTTGCAATTCTCCTGCCTTTCCAGTGATTAGATTACAGGTGTGCACCCCTGTATCTGACCAAAAAATTTAAGCCTTTTTTTTTTTTTGCCCAGTCCATGTAGTTATTACTGTAAATTGGAAGTACAGTGCTTTCTCCCTTTTATCTCCTAATAATTTGATATTGAAGAAATGCAATAGAATAAGACACATAGTAACTTTAAATAGAACAAAGCTGACCCAAAACTATGCTAAGATAACATAATGAAAACCTGTGATTTTTTTTTTTTTTTGTATTTAGTACAGGATCTATTTAGATCAGACTTGTAGTGATCCTCCTGTTTTCAACCTCCCAAGTGCTAAGATTACAGGTGCATGCCACCACGCCCAGGCTCCATGGCCATCTCAGCATGCCCTGGGGGTGGGACTGGCACAGCATGCTGGGGATCAAACCCTGGCTGCTGCGCTCTCCTAAGCTGGCACTTTAGTCCGCTGAGCTATCTGGCCAGCCCTTTGTGATTTATTTTTAAGAAGTGACATTTAAATTAATATAGAAAATATCCTAAAAATTAGTGCAGTCATTATAGAAAATGGTCTGGAAGGTCCTCAAAAAACTAGAAATGAATGGCCAAAAGATCCAGCAATACCACTTTTGGGAATATACTCAAAGGAACTGAAACCAGTATGATGAAGAGACATCTGCACTTGAATGTGTACTGCTCACAACAGCCAAGGTACACAGTCCACCTATTAGCAGATGAATGAAAGAAAACACGGTGCATGAACACAATGGAGTATTATTCAGCCAAAACAAAGAGTGATGTTCTGCTATTTGTAGCAACATAAATGGAAATAATTACTGCATTAAGTGAAATATTCAGACAGAGAAAGACAAAACACCACATGGCCTTGCTTCTCTGTGGAAGCAAAAATGTTGATCACCAAGAAGTAGAGGCTGGCACAGTGGTTAGCACATGTGGGCAGGTGTGGAGGGTGAGGGAAGGACACGGACAGTGGACGGAGGTGCAAGGACATCAGGATTAACCGCCACCATGCTGCAGCACAAGGAGAACTATGGCTCCAACAGTTTGTGGACTGCTTCCAAATACTCTAGGATTCTGAATGTTTGTGACACAAAGAAATGATAAGCATGTGAGGGGAGAGCTCTACTGGGTCTGATCACTACATGTTGTACACATGAACTGAAATGTCACACCACCCCCAGAAATATGCATAATCGCCATATGCCAATTAGGATTGAACATACATTACTGGTAACACAATGAGTTCAATCACTGGCCCAGCACGTGTGAGGTCCTGGGCTGGATTCCCAATGTCAGGGAGGGCCAAGGGACGAAGGTGTGTACACACACAGAAATACATTGAGATAATGGGCCTGGAGACGAAAAGTTATTTGGGAGGCGAACACAAGAGGACTGTGCGTTATATTTTATAGGTAAAATGCTTTATGAATTTAGAATAAAATAACTATCTAAAACTGGATGTTTTAATCTCTTATGTGATAGGCTCTCATAAATATCTGACATTCTGGGCCCACAGCAAAGGGAGCCTGTAATTTTTTTAAAGCATACAAACAAAACTGTCTCATTTTAAAACAAATTACACAAATATAATTAGCTGAAAATTGTTAGGGACACAGAATCATCTAATTTGGAGGAGACTGCAAGAAGTGGAACCAAAAGATTGTCATCCTTACCCTCCCAAACTATGGATATTACAAGTTTTTAGAACAGTAAATTCAATGCAAAATAAGCTTAAATCGAGGAATGCATGACAAATAATAAAACCAAAAAGCTAAAATTTGCAAAAATTTTCAATTAATTCTTTTAGCTACACATTTCCTTCATGCTCATTTGACAATTTTTATATCCAGAAGTCCAAAACTACATTTTCCCCTTGTTGGCTCTCCCCCTAGGACATGCACATGCGTGCAGCACATACATTAGGACTGGACAGGTGCACGGCTGAGGCGAGTTTTCTTAGCCAGAGGTCTTCCACAGCCCTTTTTTCTTCTTTCCATGAGTTTCCCCAGCTTTAACTACTAGTGATTGGTTAATTTGATTTGGCATATATAAATACGGCACAAATGCACAGCATCACCTTGTGTTTTAGACAGTAAGGCAGGACTACTAAAATGCACAATAATCCAGACTGGGTGCTGGGCTTGATCTCTAGCACTGGAACACAAACACACACACACACACACACACACACACACACACACACACACACACACACTGCAAACACACAAGAGAGAGATCAAACTTATACACCAGCATCTTTCTCATGTAAGATGTGTACTTAATATCATAGACTAGAAACAAAATTTAGTTGCATTATAAATCTTTCTTCAAATTACAGGAACATACCCCGTACCAAATACATAAAAGAATTAAAAATAAAAACCCATTTATTCAATTTCTATTATGCAGTTTGAGAGACAGGTTTCCTCTGACTAGTTTTCATACAGCTGACAAATGTTAAAGTAATTCATGGCTTCAAAGCAGGGAAAATGAAGTTAATTCTTAGATCAATTTAACAGCACACGTTTGTCTGTATTACCAGTCAGGTCAGGGCTTAGAGGCATGTGCCACCTTGCCTGGTTACATGTCAGTGTTATCAAGGAATCTGAGTAACAGGGTTTTAGAGAAAGGTACAACTTACCGGGAAATAGCCATATTAAGATATATTCCAGTCAGGTGCTGTGGCACACACCTGTAATCCTAGCACTCGGGAGGCTAAGGCAGGAGGATCACCATGACTTTACAGCCAGCCTGGGCTACATAGTGAGTTCAAGGCCAGCTAAACTACATAGTGACATTCTGTCTCAAAACAAAACAAAACAAAACAAAAACAAAAACCAAAACCAAAACAACAATCTAAATGCTTGCTGACCTATTTTCTGGAATTGTTCATCATAAAACTATCAGAATTAATCAAAAAAATTGAAAACATGAAACTTCTCAAAATTTCTGACTAAATTTTTTAAATGTCAAAACAGTAATAAAAATAACTTCATGAAACTAATTTGTAAATCTAGTATCTTTCAAAAACACTGGCTTGAAGGATTAAAATTTCTGTAGCTTAAGATAACAATTAAAAATATACTCACCGGAAATTAAAGGTAATTCTGAAAGAAGAAAGAACATTCAGTTTGAATATTAGAATTCTAGATTCACCCAGTACATTGATAGGTGAAAATGAGTCAAGAGGAAAGGTGGAATAAAAATGTGGGTGAGATCTTACACTCATAAAAGGCACATTAATTTAATACAAAACATAAATCCTTGCTTTCTGGGGAAAATGGTTTCATATTATGGTTATTAAAATGGCATGTGTTGTGACAACGGTGTATTTGCAAGACATGAGACATGACGGAAGTGGAGATTGCTATCAGTTGCCTGCGAGGCTTTTACCTTTTCACAGGCTCTGTCTGTACGAGCGCCGCATCTAGCATCGCTTTCATCCACAACTCCATTTCCTTTCCTGTATCAGTGCAGAAATAATAGGTCCGCATGTTTGGATGGGCTGCCTGATTAAAAATGACACGATCATTTTACCACAAAGACATAGGATTCTGGAAAAGAAAAAGAAAAACAGGTAAGTGGTTTCTTACCTACTATCATGTTTTAAAGAAAGCAGGTTTATCCTTTATATAAAATACAGAATTGACTTAAAAATGTAGCTATTTATAAAAATGATAGTATATTCATTTCCTAACTTCTTTTTTAGTTATGTGTACTTTAAAAAAAGTGCTTGGAAACAAAAAGATGTTAGACACAAAGTGCTCAGTGCTATCTGTTCTACCTGCAATACCTCAAGCACTTTTCAGTTACTGTGATTCACTCTACAGTAATGTCCCAGCGCCACCAGCCACAACTTCAAGCGGAATGTGTGTTGATATTGCATTTTCCTCCTGTTAGCAACCTTAGTCCTCAAAAGGTGCTACTGTTAAAATACTCTGTAGTAACCTTACAGGCATCTATACACAAACATAAAAGGTTTAGAAATGATTCCAAAGTGGTATTTCCTAGTATTTTTAAATTCCACAGTTAAAATGAAATAGGTTGGGTTCAAGATAAAAAACGATTACATAAGTGACAAAAAGATTTTTCCTGAAGGTGATTCAATCTGTCTCTTTTCAGAGAAACACAAGAAAAAAAAGTAAAGGGAGTGCAAATGAAGAGACTGCTACCAGGGTAAACTCCCATCTTGAGCCTGGGCTGCCCATCTTGAGCCCTGGGCTGCCACAGCAGGATGAACAGCAGGAGCTGGAGTAGCACAGGAAAGGAAGCTGAGGTCAGGACCAAGGAAACAGTCTTGATTTCCCTGTATTTTGTTTATTTTTGAGACAGAATTTTACTATGGAGTCCGGTTGGCCTTAAACTTACTATGTAGCCAAGGCTGGCCTTGAACTCATGATGTGTGCCAGCATGCTGGGCCTTTGGTTTCCCTTTAAAAATGTGTGTGATAATTTCCATTAGTCATTCAAAGAACACTAAAGGTTATTTCAGCCTAGAGTGAGGTAAATGAAACAATATTAAGTAGATAGTTTGCTAAGTGAAAGAGGCAGAAATCTGGAACCACATAATTTATTCTAAGATCTATACTACTTGCTTCATGTACAATGTCAAATTAGCTTCTGGAAATCTTTTTTTGGATACAGATACATTCAATAAACAATCATCAAAATAACTGCATCACCAATAAATCTCTTTTGACTATGTTAAGAAATAACTATGGAAATGACATGAAAGAAATGATTAAAACCAACACAGCATCACTGGATGCTCCGAGTGGAGCTTTCCAAAGATGAATGAAGACTGCTGCCCTGTCTGTGATCAGTGGAAGAACAGTGGACGGGCATAGAAGGTTCAGTTTCAGTCATGACTCAGACACTAGCAAAGCCACCCACACTTGCCATCTGTTAAGTGTCAAGAAATATTTACTAGCCAGCATCCAGGCCAACTTTCAGCTCCATGCCTGTGTTCAGTAACTTCCATGAAGTTCCTACTCACCATTCTGACAAGCAGTCTCATCAGTACCAATAGACTGGGAAAGAAAGCAGCTCAGCCGTTTGGAGCAGGAACCACAGAGGAGAGAATTCGAAACAGCAATTACTACTCTTGTTACAGGTAAAAACAAATAAAAAATATAAACCCACATGTAAAAATAGTGTTAATATTATAGTTTCACATGTGCGCTTTAGAAGTCACCTGTATTAAATTTGTTAAAAATATTTAAGTGCTTTTCTAGCTGCACAACTTAGCAAGAGCCTGTCTCAAAATTAAAAAAAAAAAAAAAAAAAAAAAAAAAAAAAAAAAAATCAAAAATCAATACAGTTGTAAGGAAGTAGCTCAGTGTGAAGGCCGGGGTTCCATCTCCCCGTACCACAAGAACAAAGCAAATACAACAAAATAAAAACAATAAAAAACCCTCAAAGGAATAAAAAAGATGGGGGACTAAAAAGCCTAAGTGGCCCTGAGCTTATTTTAGCCATAAGCACAGGGAATGCTGCCAAAAATGGAGCATGACTTTTGAAAACCAAATTCACCAGTTTACCTGGAAGTGTGAGCCCCAAATCAGCAGTATCAGAGACAAATGGGTAAGGCCAGTCGTGCAAGGGGTCTCAAGTCTGCTCAGCTTTAACAATGGTGAACACCATGCTTTAATTTCTATATTTGTTGTAAAGTGTCTGAAGACCACCATGCACTTTTATGAAGGATATCTGGAATTACTGTGTAAGTTCCTCAATATATTTCTATTATGCTGAAGGAACAGTTAGCTTTTATAATATTGTTCCTATAAATCCCAAAAAAGGAAAGCATACAAAAACCTTGACAGAAAGTACAAGGATCGTGGGACTTCTACAGCTATAGTCACTAGTCATTAGCATTTTAATCCGCTTTATCTAGAACTATCTGAAAGCACAGATGGGCAGACATCTGACCCCTGAGTATTTTTAGCACGTCCTCTCTAAAGGGACATTCCTCTATAAAAATCAACACACTTTACATGGAACGGGACCACTGGCTGGGGATACAATGCCTGCCTGGCAAGCTCAAGGTCCTCAGTTCGACTTCCAGCACCCCTCCCACCCCTGTCAAAGAAGAAAGGGATCACTAACTGAAGTATCTTTGTAATAATCTATGGGTCAGTCTATCTTTTTTAATCATGCAAGTTTCAAACAGAATAAAACAGCAGGAGTATTTCTTTACCTTGAAAGCATATTTGCGATTAATGTGGTCTTCAGAGGTAAGTAGAGCTATCTGAAAACTAGGTAAGAGTATGCTTCCCAGAATTCCTTCTTCTTTCTCATCTAAGAGAGAATTTAGTATCTGATTAGAATTTTCTTATATTTCTGAATTTAGTTAAAATTATAGCACATTTTCAAGAAAAGAAATATGAATAAAATTATACCAAGACACACAAAAATGAAATCATTCAAAACTAATTGTAAAGTAAAAAATCATGAAAGCATATACATAGAAAAAATATTAGCTACGGAAGAACGAAATCAAATAGCATCTTATTCCATATTAGAAAAAAAAAGAGCAAGTGTATATGAAACTAGACTTGTTTATTCAAAGGACTGGGGGAAAATAAAAAGATCTATCCTCACTGAATGTTATACTGAGCAAACATACCTTTGAAAACTAAAAGTAAAATATTTTCCAGTTATACAAAATCAAAATATTCTAATACCTCCAGACATACCATATAGGAAATAACATAGAGCATTATCCAGAAGGCAAGAGAAGTTGCTGGATGGTCCTGAATAAAGGATAAAGAGCTCTCAAAATAGTCGTTATGCAGGACTATATTAAAATATAGTTATATTAGACGAATCCATTTAAAAGGTCACTGAAGATTTCCACAAAACAGTATCAATCTTATTTCAAGTTATATGCATATTTTTTTTTTTTTTTTTGTGTGTGTGTGTAAAAGACAAGGAAGAACTAATATAAAGTCAATGGAAAATGGAAATACACTTTTTAAAGTTTCTAATACTAGGAGAAAATGTCATACCATGTCTTATAAATAGATTGTAAGTCAAAGAAACAGCATAAATCATAAAACAAAAATTAAAATTAAACAATATTCAGAAAATTTATTAAATATTAATTCAAAATTAAATTAAATATTTCAAAACAATATTAAAAATTAAGATTAAATTGTAAGTCCAACTAAGAGGCCAGAATGTAGTGTATCATATGTATGGTGATCATTTCAGAGTACTCACATAGTATTTGATTAGGTTAATATATACAAAAATATCAACTAAGAAAAAGTTTTCTGATTAGAATTTTAAATGTTCTCATGAAGAAGAATAAGTTTTCTCAAAGTTTATTTGGATCAAACTAAATGGTTCTTATATATAACTGAACTGTATTTGTGGTTAGGTAGGTCATTTGAAGAATGTATTTAATTAATTAATTAATTAATTTATTTGGCACAGGGTCTTGCTACCCAGCTTGGACTCATAGTGAACCTCCTGCTTTCCGCCTCCCCAGGCCTGGGATCACACCTGGTTTCGGTGGCCATCATGGCAAGTGGTACCAAGGATGGAACCCGGGTCCTTGTGTTTGCTAGGCAGGCACTCAGACTGAACTATCTCCCCAGCCCTTTTTTTAAGACTTTAAATAAAAATAACAAATAGATATTTCTTTGCTTTCAGAAAGCTTCCTTCGTCTAACAAAATAAAAAAATTGGCACCATACATGAAAGACAATGCCACTTAGACAAAAAGAAATCCCACCTTCTTCGGTTTATGTGCTATATTATATGAAACTCTTACATGAGATTGGCTGAAAGTATAGTAGCATATATGTAAGTAATAGTGTAGACACTCTAACATGTATAACACTGCAAGTTCACTTTTACCACTGATTGTGATACATAATAAAGCTACTGATCCCCAAGGCTAGCACAGCAACTGTAAATAGAAAAACATTAACAGTAAAATGTTTTCTTTTGGGTGGTGAGAGCACAGCAGACTAAGCACCTGCTTAGTGCAGGGACAGGAGTTTCATCCCCGGCACCACATGCCACGCTGAGCCGGCCACCGAATTCCCAGGTATGGTGGTGCATGCCTATAACACCAGCACTGGGGAGGCTGTAAACAGGAGGATCACCATGAGCTCAAGTTGTGTAGTGAGACCCTGTACCAAATACATACAATGAAAAAACAAAAACAAAAACACCCCAATATCTTCTACTATATCCCTTAATAAAAACGATCTTTCAAAAGTTGCTCAGAATATGTAGTGGCAGTGTTGTAAGAGGATTTCCTTGGATAACTGTGACTTGTTTTCTGGCCCAACACTAACTAGCTATGAGATTTGGGGTCCAGTTCTCTCTCTGTCTCTGTCTGTCTGTCTCTCTCACAGGGTCTTGCTATACAGCTCAGACTCTAGTGATTCTCCTGTCTCAGCCTCTTCAGCACTGGAATTACAGGTGTGTGCCACCACGCCTGGTTTCGGTGGCCAGCTTGGTGTGGGCCAGCATGGCATGTGGTACCAGGTGTTGAACCCACATCCTTGTGCTTGCCAGGCAGGTGCTTAGACTGCTGAGCTATCTCCCCAGCCCAGTTGTTGATGTAATTTTAAAATAATCGCAGTATTTTGGGAGCTAAGGAGAGAACTGTGAGTTGGACAGTCTGGAACACAGTGGACCCTGTCTCAAACAAACAAAAAAAGAAATCGAAAATTTAAAACTGTGTATCATACTTTTCTAATAATCTAAACAGCAGAAGTGAGTTAAATATTTTTCTTGCTATATTTTTCTTTTGTATATTTCTCCCTAGTTGGAAACTAAGATTAATAAACCCACTAAAGGTAAAATACAAGTAGTTAATAATATGAAAGAACCTCATAGTCAGTGTGGCTTCTGAGGCCTCTTTATTTTTTTCAAATATAATTATGTTTTCCTATTATGAGCTGGGCATGGTGGCACTAGCTTATAATCCCAGCACTTGGGAGGCTGAGGCAGGAGGACCATTGAGTTCATGGCCAGCCTGGGCTGCATAGTAAGTAAAAGATCAGCCTGAACTACATAGGAAAACCGTGTCTCTATAAACCAACCAACCAACCAACCAACCAAACAAACAAACAAACAAAACCTCCAAAAAGCTTTTCTGCTATAATGAAGAAACAATCAGGAACAACAGCAAAATACAAGAAATCATGTTTTCATTTGTTATAAATTTAATTCTAGCACTCAGAAGGCTAGGGCAGGAGGATCACAAACATGGGACCAGACTAGGTTATGCAGCAGGCTGAAGGTTAGCCTGAGCTGTACACAGTGAGGATCCTGTCTCAAAACAAAACAAAACAAACAAAAAACCCAAAAAATTTGTATGTAAAAATAAGAAAGAGTAAACATTTTCGGGCCAGTGAGATAGCTCAGTGGACTAAGTGCCTGCTTAGGCAAATGCAGGGACCAGGGTCCGATCCCAGATACCACATGTGGCACTGGCCCTGCCCCTGGGTATGTAGAGCTAGGGACCAAGACTGGGTGTGGTGGTGCATGCCTGTAATTCCAGTGCTGTGGAGGCTGAGACAGGAGGGTCAGTACAAGTCTGAGCTGTGTAGTGAGACCCTGTACCAAACAGATAAAAAAAAGAGTAAACATTTTCTTGTGCTCATTTTAAACTATGTCTATAAACGTACTGACAAAGAAGGAAGAACAAATTACAAGCTGAGGGATAGTGCCTGGGCAACAAGTTCTAACTCTCTGAAATACTGGAAAGCTTTTAGGGAAAATTATAGAGTAAATTTGGCATCTGACTAAAAATAATACCACAATTGATGCCTGACCAATATCTGTATGACAAAATAAAATTTTATAGGTTTGGTTAATTCTGACTCAGCAGTACTTCTAAGCCACAGTTTGCTGGAGAGTAAAATGACAGAAATAATTCCAGCTTTTCCAAACTGTAAAGGTTAGTGTGTATGTTACTTCATAGATAACTAGAATTTTGTCATACATCTTTAGTATAACTGAAAATTAAATTTTACTATGTATCACAAACACATGATAAAAATAAAACCTAATAAATATTAAACTTTAAAATTATTAATTGGTTCTAAACCCCTTGGTATTTCTTGTGGTTCATATTTCTAAAGGTCATAAATTATTATGAGCTGACAATCTAATTCGTGTGTGTGTGTCTTTTTAGGCTGGGCTTGAACTCATGGCAAGCCTCCCACATCAGCCTCCTGAGGGCTGGAATTACAGGCGTGTGCCATTATGCCCAGTCGACAATCTAATTCTTCAGTGACAGTTTCCAAACAGATTTTAAGGCTTGCGAAAAGAGCTGGTTCAGATTTGGTTCCAGGCACTAGCTCCACAGCAGAAGTCACTGAAGCGCTGCCTAGGTTACATTTTGGAGGCAGGTAGCTCCTTGTGTTCACTGAGAGATTCCTGCCACATACAGAGGCTTTTGTGTGCAATGGCGGTAATCAGATGAGCCAGTGGCAAGTGCTCACAGTCCCTGCTGTTAGGGAGGCAGGCAGGGGCAAGACATACTTGAGTCCAGGAGCAGGATGCCAGGTATGATACGTCAGTGAGACTCCATCTCTTTAGAACTTCTACCATCCATACCGGAGGATGAAGACTACGCTTTTGTGCCTCAGGGGATACCCACATCCCCTTCCTGCTAGGGTTAACAGCACCATATGTATTTCTCATGCGCCTTTCTCCACATTTCAGGGAGAAGGTTATCACTGGTTTTACAAGAAGAATGTTTAAAATAAATGTCGATTTGTCACTTCTGTTTTATTCCTCATTTTCCGGGAACAAAGCTGTACTGAGCGGAGTCGCAGCTGCATCTGACCACGCTGGGCAGAAGCACGCCAAGCTGAGGCTGCGGTCTGCTGGCCGCTGCACTCAGAGACCACAACAGACAATGCATTCTTCATGCAGAAGGAGGCAGAGTGCAGGGACTAAACACTCTGATTTCTCTTATTTCCTGTCTCAATAACTTGTAATCATAGATCAAAGAAGAATCAGAGGTCTTGGCATTATTTGCTAATAATGAAACAGCAGAAATGGTAATTTTTTTCTTTAAAACAGTATACAATACCACTTAGCACAGGCTATGATTATAAAATAACACACTGGGAGAGTTTAGAGTACACTCACCTCTATAATAAAAGAGGCAAAGGTCAGAAAGCACGAACCAGCGTTTCTTCCACAGCCTCATGCCAGTACTGTCCTGCATTAACATTAAAGATGTTCTTCACTTCAGACAATTAAAACCCACTTCCATCGAAAGCAAGCTTTTAAAACAAAATGTCTTTAGTATGTGAATAGCATAAGCTAACTAAAGGTCAATCCAAATTTTAGGGTACACAGTTTCAGTTAAGAAGAAGTCAATTCTGGTGTTCTATTTCAAACTACAGTGACCATGAATAATGATAACCTATGGTATATTTCCAAAAAGCTAGAGAAAAGGGCTCTGAGTGTTTGTACCACAGAGAAAGGATAAATACAGTATTTGCAGAGACAGATATGCTTTTCATTTTGAACATTACACTATGTTTATATGTATGGAAACATTACATGGTACCCCATAAAAATATAAGTAAATTTTAAGTGTTGATTTAAAGAAAATTTACACAACACACACACACACACAAACACACACGTACATGGAGATATTCCCCAAGAGGACTGATCTCTTAAGGGTAATAATGTCACGGAAAGGAGTCTGCTGAAGCAGCTTCACTGGGTTTCATATTTGTAAGCAATCTAAAATTCACTCTCCTAAACACACGGGTATGCCAGGGTGGCAATGCTGGCACCAGCAGTAGTGTGTGCATTCTGGGAAGCCGGGTTTAATGAATATGTTAATCTTCTATAGGAAGCAAAATATATGAACTGAAATTATTCCAAAGGCACAGTGATGTAAAATGAGTATGAATAAAGAAACCCTAATACAAATTCGTTTCGTAAACAATTTTTTCTTATAGCTACAGTTCAGGTGAGTTTTGCTCATGCTGCAGAAAACACTGCCTATGTGGCAGCTAGTTCTGAGTGATTTAGTTCATAAAAATAGGAAGCTCAAGCAAAATTATAATTTTAACACAAATTACTTTCCTCCATGCAATAAAGCAAAACTGCAAGAGAAAATTAAACAGACACTCCAAAATGCAAAATTGAGGCCAGGTTGGATGAGCACTGATTAATATTTCTTAATTTATTTCTAGTTGTGACAATCATCTAATGTAGTTTTGGAACAAATGAAATTAACGTGGGTTAAAAAAAAAATCCCTGGATGTAAAATATCTGTCCTTAAAATTACAGCTTCCAGAAGGAAGGGACCAAATCAAAGCAAAACAGAAATGAAATGGTATATGGTGTTTTCAGTTTCTAAATCATATTATCTGTGAGTTATATTTACATATTTTTATATTTAGTCATTATTTAGGGAGTTTTCTTGGAGACAAGGTCTCGACATGCAGCCCAAGCTGGCCATGAACCTGTGGTAATCCTGCGGCCTCAGTCTCTCAGGTGCTGAACTGCAGGCCTGCACCACCACTCCTGACCTTACATATACAGGTTATATATGTAACATACATGGGTTATAAAACAAACCTTTATGTTAGACAAACATTTGGTAACACTTGTAATACTATATTAGCCAAGAGACCAAGAACATAACAATCCCAGCACTTGGGAGGATAAGACAGCTCAAGACCAGTTAGAAAATCAACACAGAGATTCTTCTCTTACAAATTAAACTTGCAAAGGGCTGGGGAGATGGCTCAGTAGCATAAGCACTTCCCTGGCAAGTGCAAGGGCCTGAGTTCAATCCCTGGTTCTGCCACAAAAAAGAAAAACCCCAAAAAACAGTGACCTATACAAATTAAACTTGCAGAAATCTTTTAGCTTGGATAAATTAAAAGACAGATAATTAAAATATAACAATAATTTTTAAAATAAAGACAATTTGCTATCCAAATTATATATCTAACGAACTTGATGAGACTGGTAAAATTAATTCACACTAGTTGAGGAGCCTCTGGATTTTAAGATGGTCCTCTTCTAATGCATTAGTTAGCTGCCACTCAACATTGGGGTAAAACAAATCTGTAATAAATATTCCACAGCAAATTACTGAATTTTAATGAACAAAAATAACTGGGTCAGCTGAAAGCAGTCAACAGCATTTTAACAGAATAGGCTAGCAACATCAATGGATTTATTTTTTGCTGGCACATAGTACTTGCACATTTCTTTCTTTTTTTAAATGTATTTGGTACATGGTCTTACTATGCAGCTCAGACTCATAGTGATCCTCCTGTCTCAGCCTCCCTAGCACTGGGCTTACAGGTCTGTGCCACCACACCTGGACTTGGTGACCAGCTCAGCATGCCTGGGGGTGGGGCTGGTACAGATGTGGTACCAGGAATCAAACCCTGGTTCCTGCACTTGCCAGGCAGGTGTTTAGACCACTGAGCTATCTAGCTGGCCCTTGTACTCTCGTACATGTCTATGGGATACAGTGTGACACTTTAGCACATGTATAGAATGTGTTCATGACCAGACCAGGGTACCTGGTTTATCTATTGCTTCAGATATATATCATTCAATAAACTAATGTCTTACTTGCTTTGTATTATGGGTATATATATGTACAGTAAGAGAGAATAAAGCCAAACTTGGGCCCTGGATGTTAAAACATCTCTCATTTCTATAGCAGTTGCTTATCTGATATCCAACTGTAAGTAGGAAACTAAACAACAAGATAAAAGCAATAAAAAGGATGCCAAAGTCCAAGGGGGTAATGCACATGTATGTTCATAATTCCAGAACTAATGACAAGCTTCCCAAAGACCTCAGTTATCAAGCTTCACAGATAGTACATATCAATCCCAACTATCAAGATGTCTCACAGCACACTGTATTTGGGTAAATAGTTAAAGGAGAAAAGAAAAAGGAGGCATAAAAATCTCAAATTATTGTAAGATTTCTACTGAGATGTTAGCACAGTATGTCTAACATGGAGCATGTATTTAATATTAAATCCAAAATACATATAACAAACACAGCTAGACAATCTCGGGTCTGTGTAACATCCAGTCTCTTTACTGTCTTTACTAATTTCTTGACACCCTTCAGAAGTAATAAAAGTCAAAGAACATGGGTGATGACTCAACAGTTCCTTCTCTATTTTGTGTAAGTTTATGTAATTGTCTTAGCAACATTCAGCACAAAAGATTCCTTTTGATCCTACAATTTGCTTCAAATCAAATGAGAGGGGGGAAAAATACCTGTTTATAAAGCCAACCTCGTCTGACCACAGGTGCATTAGGATTCCTTTTAATTGAATTTGACCTCTTTCCAAAATTATGCACTTTTTTTGAAGACCGGGAAGTCTAAACAGAACAGAGAGTGACAGAACATGAAGCATTCATTTTTTTCTTTCTTTCTTTCTTTCTTTTCTTTCTTTCTTTTTTTTTTTTTTTGCAGAACCAGGGATTGAACTCAGGCCCTTGTGCTTGTCAGGGAAGCACTTATTCCACTGAGCCACCTCCCCAGCCCCAAAGCATTCATTTCTACAGAACTGACTGGAGTCTTTATTTTTATAACTTATCTTTTTTCAGATTTTCATAAGACTTGTAGGAAAAATTATTATGAGCCACTTTTGCAGGCTGAGTTGTTACAAGCGTAAGAATTTTACACAAAGAATTCTCCCCCAGCATATTACAAAGATCATGGGTTTTACGACTCTTTAAAATCTGGATACACAAATTTTAAAAGACATAATAGGTAGCAGCATTTTGTTTTATCTGTTATATAAAATGAATGCTTAATAAAAACTGATAAATTAAAAACTAAATAGTAGAACTCTGCTTATATTTGCATTTAACAGTGTTTTAATTAAAGGAAGTTAACAGCATCAAGTCAAGGAGAGCTACTCAGGTATTAAATATAAACAAACATCACATCAAGTCAAAACAAGACTGCAAGAGTCTACTTAATGTCATACAGTGCTATGTTCTCTGTAGACAACTCAACTTGAATGTCGGACAGATGCCATTTGCTCTTGAAGGTACACACAAGGATATTACTACATAGCATGAAGATTTATTTTGGCAGGAATGGTAGTGATAATAAACATAAATACAATAAGCTGGATTTGAATTTCTGTATAAAATAATAAGTAAGTTATAACAAAATTATTTCTTACTTTTCAACTCATCTCAAATCTTTGAAGAGTTAGAATATTTCAGCCGACTTTTCTTGGTCAAGTTTTGGTTAGTACATAATAGAACTGAAGGCTCAGTATCAATAACATTTTTCTAAAATTATTTTTAAACAGATAATGCTTAAGTAGAGGATAAAACTCAATGGTATGAAAAGATAAACAAGAACCAGTCTGCTTCTCAGGCGTAGGCTCCAGCATCCAGGAACCTCGCATGTGTGAAGCAGCCACCATCACTGTGCGCATGCACGCTGCTGTTCTCACAGACGACAGCTTACTTTTCTAAGGTGACTGTATACAAACACTTTTCTGTGGGCCAGGGAGGCAATACGTGCTTCCCTGATAAATACCTTTCTGTTCCACTATTTATTAGAGCTCGTGATATTAAGAGGATGCTTACTTGCCTACACTACTGTCAACATGTGTGGTCATAAAACTTCTGGACCCCTGTAAAGCTTGTAGGTATAAATAGCGTCTTTGCTGGTTATAACTGCTGTTTTTCTTATTATGAATGAGACTGAGAATCTTTTCCATATATTTAAAGAGTAAAATCCATTTCCTTTCCTGAGAATTAATTTTACATAATTTGCCTATTTTAAAACTAGGTCACAAGCCTTTTTCTTATTCATTTAGAGCAGCTCTTTAACTTTAAAGGAATGATTATTATATTAATTGAGGATATTCTGCATGAATAACTATTAGATGCTCAATTTTTCATTATTTCGTATTATTACTTCTAGGTTTTATCTCATATTTTGTTATTTATTTATTTTATTTTTTGTATTTTTAGGGAAGGGTCTACAGTGTGTTCAGGGTCTCACTACTAGAGCTGCCTTGTAGTGATCTGCCTGTTTACAGCCTCCCAAGAGCTAGGATTACAGGCGTGCACCACCACACCCAGTCTCAATTGCCATCTCAGTGTAACCCAGGGCCAGGGCCGGCAAGGCAGGTCCCGGGGATTGAACCCCAGGTCCCTGCGCCTGCTTGCAGGTACTTTAATCTGCTGAGCTATTTGGCCAGCCCTTTTATCTCATATTTTGAAAGTCCAGCTGCATTGGGCAGATGCTGCTGTTTCTCTCTTTCCCTTTTTTTTTTTTTTTTTTTTTGAGGCAGAGTCTTGCCATACAGGGTCTAACCAGCCTTGAAGTAACTATGTAGCCCAGGCTGGCCTCTAACTTGCAGTGGTCCTCCTGCCTCAGTCATGCAAATGCTGGGGTTACGGTGTGCACCACCACACCCAGCGTTTCTTTTTCTTATATTTACTTTCAGTCATTAACTGTTTTTTCTAGCTTCCTATAGTATTGTTTTTAACAACTGATTAAACTGTTAAATCAATTAATATTGATTTCAATGACTGATCCATCTGGAAAATTTTGGATAAAAATTAGAAGCACAGGTTCAATTTTCTAAACAATGAGTTAGTGGCCTTCAATTCATTTATCATATTATTTCTCTAAATCTTAATAAAATATATATTAAGCATTTTGTACTTTTTCAAACTTCTGACTATCTTATGTTACTAATATATTTATGCTATTTGAAAATTTGTTTACTTGGAATATTGTACAAAATTTTATTTTAAACATCTCAACTATAAATGCTATTACGGTTGTCCATAATCCATTTCCTTCCAATAAACATGATGCATTATTAAAATTGTCTTACTATTATAAAATGCTTCCTACATCTAGACTTTTATATCATCAGGAAATCTGATTTCTAGGCTACTACATTTATTTTCCCTTTAAAACAAGCTTGTCCAATAAAATGTCCATGCTTTCATGCAAATAACCATAGTTGTAAAATTATTCAAAATCTTAACTTGGTATTTCTAAAAATGTCACTAAATTATAATCTTATTACTTTAAATTTTAAGTAACTAGATCTTCCATTAATTATATCTAACATAATTAAATCCATGTCATAATTAAAAAATGTGATGATGATTCTAGAATCCCAATTACAAGTCTATTATGAGCACTAACAACAGATACTGGCTACCACTTATCACTAGCTAACAGTAAGCAAGATAACGTACCCGACCCACGGGGCTCATCGGGTGCACTGCATAATCGGAAGTCATGTTATGGTTAGAAGCTTCATTTATCATACTTAAAGGTCGTTCCTTCTTTTCTTCAGATGTCATTGTTGCAACAGCCCTAAAAATATAACAGATGAAATACAAGGATTTGGTATATTTAAACTTTTTCTTAGTAACACTCCCTACAGTTAACTATGCAAGTGTTCTTTTTTTCTTTCCAAAGAATTAAGTGTGAGTTACTATAAAATAGTATTTACAATTACTTTAAACATTTAGAACATTTCAGTCATATTTATTTAAACAGCACTGCTATAGATATTCTACTTGGTTGTCCAACTGGAAAATTAAAAATAAAAGGGGTTGGGGTGTAGCTCAGTGGTAGTAGGGTCAGCGTGCACAAGGCCCTATGTTTAATCCTCAACATCAAAAAAGAATTACAAGACCAACTATTTTAATATTAAAAATAACAGAAATATCAAGTTAACATTTATGAATAGTTTTGTAGTTTATACAACATTTTCAACCTTTAATCCCAGCTACTTGTGAGGCTGAGGCAGGAGGTTTGCAGGATCAGAGAGACCCTCCATTTCTCAAGATAAAATCCAGAAAGGGCTAGCTAGCTATGTAGTTTGGTGGTACAGTGTTCCTGAGTTCAACCTTGACTACTGCAAAAACAAAAATATCTTCAGACTTCCACTAGATGATTATAGAAATCCTGGGAAATGGTAATTACAATCACCCCAAAGTTAAGGATAAGAAAAGCAAGTTCAAATTAATTTAGTAATGTGTCCAAGTTTACAGTTTCTCTAACTTGTAATCTGGGTTTGAGAGCCTATGCCCTTTGTTTCAACTCTCACAAAAATTAGCTTCTGAAATTACATTCCTCATGAAAATAAATTTTTTCATGGGCTCTTTTATTTATTAAATATATTTAGTACAGAGTTTATAGGGTCTCACTACACAGATCAGACTTGCTAGTGATCCTGTTTTCTGCTGCCCAAGCATTGGGATTACAGGCGCACGCCACCATGCCTTGTCTCGGTTGTCGCCGTCTCAGAACGCCCCCAGAGGCGGGGTCGGTAAGGCACACCTGGGATCCGACCCTGGGCCCCTGCATCTGCCGAAGTAGGTGCTTTACTCCATTGAGCTCTCTGGCCAGCCCCCAAAACAAATTTTTTCAAGTCTCAATTCTGTGATTTTACTTACTGTTCATTTACTACAAAAATACAGTTGTCCTGCGATGGCTGTCCTGTGACTGGGTGTTTGCAGGTTACTTTCCTTTCATTATGACTGAAAGAATAAAAGAAAAACAGAACATGTACTTTAAAAAAAAAAAATCACAAATGTTTTTTTTATTTAATACTTTGAAAGCAAAACACACGTTTCTTTATTGTGATGTTGAAGTTATGGAATAAAGGAGACGAAATTCAAGCCAGTAACCTGTTGAGATCCCTAGAACACCTTTCCCTCTCTCTCACGTAGGTGTGGATTCGAGGGAGCAGCACTTTACAATCCCACTAAACTCACTCCCACGTTCTCTGAGCTCACTTCTTTCTGCTTGCTTTTTATTTTTATAAATAAAGCTGTGTTGACTTGGTTCACGATAACTGTATTTTACATTTCATAGGTGGGCCATGAAAAATAAGTTTGAGTTTCTCCCTACCTCTATTATTTTATGGCCCCATCTGGGTGCACTAAAGACCCAACAGCAAGTTCATATATGGAAAAATATATCCAATAGTACTAGGTACATTAAAAATAGAAGGCAGCCTGGGAAAGCAATGAATCATATCATTTCTGGTTACAAAAGCATCTGTGTATGAATAAATGTAGAAGCATGAAGAAAAAGAATAATCTTTGTTATGTTCATTGAAACAAATGCTCACTAAAATACACTTCCTATGCTGCTAAAATAATTGTCATGCTTACTTCAAATTAAAGGATGACTACTTTTGGAGATTTAACACCTTTGTCTAGGAAATACTACTCTTTACGTTGAGTGATAACATTAGATTTCTTACTGTTTTCTTGAAATAAGAAGACTAAGTGAAAATATTAAATGCCCTAAATAATGTGTAATATGTTGGTAAATTATATACATTATTATTTATAAATTAATAATTATTCTATTAGGCCACATTTCATAAAATAACCTGCTGAAAGGAGCTATGAGGTTGGACATGGTGGTGCACACCTGCAATCACTGCACTCAGGAGGCTGAGGCAGGACTGTTGTGAGTTTGAGACCAACCTGGGCTACTACAGGAGCTCAAGGCCAGCACAAACTGCACAGCAACATTATCTCACAAGACCAAACACCACCACCACAACAAAGACCAAGGATCAGTGTGCCTTTTGTTATGGAGAGAGGGATCAAGACATAATATTGAGTCACTACTTAGGTAATAACAGAAGACCCTTTGGGCTCTGTATCATGTAAAGTCAGCAATCACACCCATGTGATGCAAGTCCTTAAACACTTCGGTTTTTCCATGTACTAACTTCCTTTTAACTGGTACTGAACTCTAATCCATTAAGTAAAATTAAAGCCATATAAAAGGTACAGATAGTTTTAAAAATTACATATTGAGTATTGAAACAGAATGATTAATGGGATACATTATATTTCTATAACTCTTTAATTGGCTGAACACACAGGACTACTGAAAATCACACACCTCTTGTGCTTTTGTCTGTTTAAAGAGAGATTTAATAGGTAGCAAAATTTGCTGAGTTAGGATATCTATGGCACTGTTTTCAGTACATAAAAAGTATGCAAACCATTTTCTTACACACTGATTTAAAAAAGCACAACAATGGTAAGGCTTCAAGCACACGATATGAGGTTATGTAATAAACAGGAACTTGGTAACAGTTCCACAGCAGAGCCTCCAGAGCTAAGGAGCCAAGTGGAAAATACTTAAGTAAAGTGATGCCTACACACGGAATGTGCATTTCTGTTAGTGTTATAAACACCAGGATGGGAGCGGTCCCCCCGGCAGGGATTAGACTCCTTCACAATGAAGACTGGAGGCCAGTAGGTTTTTCCAAGCCCTGCCAGACAAAATAGGAAAATACAAATTCTTTGTATAAAAATCAATATTGCAAAGAGAAAACCAAAAGCCCTCATTCAGTGCACTATTTCCCTATGCTGCCCTCTTTCCTGAGAAGAACAGCGACGCTGACGTGAGTGCTCTGGTGCTGCATCCTAGCGCTGTGTCTCTGCACTGGCCACAGGAACTACAGGAAGGTGCTGCTCTGATCCGTGCCCCAGGCAGGTGGGGCAGGGACACACTGAAAGGGGGATGAGCCAGGTGTGGTGGTGCACGCCTGTCAGCCCCACATTCTCAGAGGCTCAGGCAGGATGACTGCAAGTTCCACCCCAGCCTGAGCAACTTAGCAACTTAGAGAGACTCTGTCTCAAAATAAAAAATAAAATGGGTGAGGAGGAGGAGAAACAGAAGGAGGAGGAGGGAGAGGAGGAGGAGGAAAGGGGGAGCAGCAGCAGCAGCAGCCCTGGTTCAATCTCAGTGTAAAACAAAACACCTAAACAGTCTTTTCCTCAAAAGTAAACAATACTTCAAAGAAACTGACAATTTTAGTGTCCAAGCCTGGTTATTTATTTGTTACAAGGTCTCAGTTATAATTTACACTGGCCTTGAAGTCATTAGGTAGCTCAGGCTGGCTACTGTGGCGATCCTGCTTCAACCTCCCCTGTTGGGATTACAAGCACGTGCCACCACGCCTGACCCACCCAAGCACTTTTTAAATTGCAATGTCTTACAGTAAAAGCAATGCATTTAAAAATCTTTAGGGGCTGGAGAGATGGCTCAGTGGTCTAAAGCACCTACTTAGAACAAGCTTAGCAAAAGCATCAGGGACCGCGGTTCAATCCCCCA